ATAATGAAATAGAAACAAATAAAATTTAATGATTAAAAGTTATTTAAATTGCTTAAACTTTATCATTATTAGGTTTGGTTCTATTTATCTCTCTTCTTCCTTTCTTCTAGTTTTTTGATTTCTTTTTACAAAAAGAACTAACACTTAGGAGTCCATTCTATAACATACAAAGTCATCAGATTAAAACCAACCCGATAAGGAGAAGAATAATCTTGACCTTCACAAAACAGATCAAAACCATACCCAGACATGTGCTCATATGCAACATCAAAACTTGTAGAAATGTAAGAAGTTGCATCAGAAAAAATGAAGAAGAAACTAGGAACAGAAATAACTTCTTTTGTTTGTCCATTAAATCTGAAAGCAACACTATATTCCTTTCTTTTTTTCATTTTAATTGGAATTGTTTTATGTGGATTAATCAATGAAAAAGCAAAATGATATTTTTGATTATCATCTTCAACATTAAAAGAAGTATCTCTTATTCTATTGATAAAACCACCATAATATGAACCAAATACATGACCTTCTTTTGTTTGAATAATTACCATTAAATTTTTATGCTCCATCATTTTTGAACTAATTAACTTTCCATTTAATCCATCAATATTACTGTTATAAATTATGTTAAAATTTTCCATATCTGTCCATTGTTGTAACACTATTAAATATTTATTAATTATTTTAAAAATGTCAGTATCGACTATTTCTCGTTGTACACAACATGCCTCTCCATAATTTGTTGCTAAATGTTCTTGTTCTTCTAAAACTTCATTGACTTTATCTAATGAAATACGTTCTGAAGGTTCATATTTACAACATTGAGTTATTGTTTCCCATATTACTCCATTTAATTTTGGTTTTCGAGTTAATGCAGCTTCTTGAGTGATTCTCATCATATCTTCAACAGAAAATGAGCCATCGTCGTGGGTATAAGGTAGCTGTTTTGAAAATGTTTCATACATTAATATTCCAAAACTAAATACGTCTGATTGTCTTGATAATGATACATTTGTTAATACCTCTGGTGCTCTATAAACAAGTGATCGTTGTATTTCATTTAATGACATTTTTTTTAAGTCTAACCGTTTATGCCTTCCATAAATAGATAATTTACAATTACTTGTTTTGGTAATATCAAGAGATGTAATGAATATTTTCGATGGTTGTAATTCACCTGCTATAATATTAACATTATGAATAATCTTTAATGCCTTAATAACGTCTTCTAAAATTTTAATTCTAAACGCCTCACTACATGAAGGTATGAATTGATCAAATGTTCCCATATCACAATACTCAAATAATATTCTAATTTCTTTACGACGTTCTACTCCAATTAATTCAACAATAAATTCTGATTTTATTTTAATAACTAAAGAACAAAGTTCTTCTATTTCATTAAAATATGATTGCATATCTTTATTATATATTTTTAGTATAGTAGGACGTTTTTTATACCAACACCTTTTTAATATACTATCTTGTCCTCGAAGGACTGGAGCAAATAGATCAATTTCTAATGAATCATTATCAAAAGACATTGGTCTTCTAACATCATCGAGTTATCTTTCTAAAACAAAAAAAAAGAAAAAACTATTTTTTATTAATTTTATTATTAACTTAACTATAAAAAAAAATCTTAAAAAGGAAAAAAGAATTTTAAAACCTAATGCCAAAGAGAAATCAACCTGAACTTGATGTTAAAGAATTTGATGATGGTGATGAAAATGAAAGTGTTAATGAAGGGGAAATGTTTGACAAAAATAAGTTAGAAGAATTAAAAGAAAAAGACCCAGATTTTTATGAATTTATGTTAAAAAATGACCCAACAATTTTCCAAGAAGAAGAAGAAGCAAATGATGAAGAAATGGGTTGGACAATGCCAGACACTGAAGAGCAAGGAGATTTAGCTAGTACACAACAAGTTATTGAAAATGCCAAAAAAGGAAATGACTCAGCATTATTACAATGTGTTCTTCTTTTTGTTGATGCAGTTCAAGAAAAACGAATTGAAACAGCATCAGATTATGAAGCAATTATGACATTTGCTGTTGATGAATTACCAAAATTAATTAAAAATAAAAAAGGGATGTTTAAGATTTATATGAGAGGAGTTGTTCTTGCTTTAAAACATATTGATGAACCAACAATTCTTCATGTATTTATTGATATTATTAAAGAAAACTCAGATAAATATGCTATATCAGATAGTTATTCTAAATGTATAAGTTCATTATCAATATTTGCATTTAATTATAAAAGTACATTAAGAAGTATTGCAATAGAAACAATGACTGCAGTAATTAAAGCATCAAGAAAAGATGAAATTCGAATGGAAAAAAGTTTAAGAATTATTTTTGGAAATTATATGAAAAGTTGTAAACAATTTTCAAGAAATACTTCTGAATTATTTAATGAATCACAACAATTTATAAAGAAAATAAGTTTATTTAATATGAAAGCAACTTATAATATTTTATTTGAATATATTAGAAATATTGCTCTTTCAACAAAAAATTGTAATACTGATTTAAATTCATTTAAAAGTGTTTGTTCATTTGGATGTATTAAAACATTTGAAATTATTGCAATTTGTTTAAAAGCAAATGTAGATGAAAAAGTAACTCAATTATATCATCCATTTTGTCAATTATTGTGTGGATTATTAAATTTTGTTAAAGGAATAACACATTTTCCAGTTGTTCTTCATTTTATTCAAATTTTAAATTCAGTTGTTTCTGAAAAACTCTTTGTTTCACCAATTCCACCTATACTTGTTGCATTTGAACAACTATCTCAAGTTAAACCAAAACCTTCATCAACAGAACAAAACTCATCAAAGAAAAGTAAAAAAGAATATGAAGAAATTGATTTTTCATATTCTCTTCAAATATCAAAAGAAGAAACTCGAAACGCAGACTTTATAGTTTCAGCAACAAATGCACTTATTAAAGAATTAACCAATTATTTTAATATCTTCAATAAATCAATTGCACTTCCAGAACTTGCATGTCAATGTATTAGTTCATTAAAAAAAATAACTAAACAATGTAAAATTGTTGTTTTAAATAATAAAATTAATACCTTCATTCAAAAATTGAATAAAAATATTGAAGTTATTAAACAGAAGAGAAACGGAATTGATTTTGGACCATTTGATGTGACTAAAGTAATGGAATTTGAATCTAATTGAATTTTTCGTTTTATAGGGTTTCAGGAAAAAGTTTTATTATTTAAGGTTATGTCAATGGAACAACTTATAGTAAGTTGTGATTCTAAATATTATTGGAATAGTTATGCTCATGTCAATATTCATGAAGAAATGATTCAAGACGAACATCGTACACAAACTTATAAAAAAGCAATTGAATGTTTTTGTAGAGGAAAAATAGTTGTTGATGTGGGTTGTGGAACAGGAATATTGTCATTATTTGCAGCAACAGCAGGAGCAAAACGAGTTTATGCGATTGATATGAGTGATATTGCACATTACGCAAGATATATTGTAGAACAAAATGGATTTAAAGACGTTATTACAGTTATAAAAGAACAAGTTGAAAAAGTATTTCTTGCAGAAAAAGTAGATGTAATAGTTAGTGAATGGATGGGATATAATTTATTGTTTGAAGGAATGTTAGCAAGTGTAATCACAGCTAGAAGATTTCTTAAACCAAATGGAATTATTTTACCAAATCAATGTAGATTATTTATAACTGCAATTCAAGGTGATGATGAATTTATTTTAAGAAAGAAGAGTTTTATTGAAATATATGGAAATTTAAATATCATTGATGATGTTTGTATAGTTGAACCTTCAATTCAAAATATTAGTCCTTCACGAGTTGTTTCAACTCATTGTATTATTGCTGATTTTAATATGTTAACAATGAAAGTAAATGATGTTAATTTTACAAGTCCTTTTACAATAGAAATTATTCAAAATACTCAGGTTTGTGGATTTTGTTGTTATTTTGATTGTCTTTTTTATGGAAAAGCTCATTTAACAACAAAACCAGGTCAACCAACTCATTGGAAACAAACTTTATTTTTTTTAAAAACTCCATTAAAATGTAAATTAGGTGATCAAATTAAAGGATTGTATACTTGTCATGCTAATTCTAAAAATCCAAGAAATCTTGATATAATAATTCAATTTAGTCATATAAATCAATGTTACAAAATAGAATATCATTTAAATTAATTTACTTTTGTTTTAATTAATTTAATAATAACTTTATTTTTCTTTTAAATGTATAAGAAGTTTTAAAAAAGTAATATAATTTAAATAATTTTATTTTTCTTCTTTATTTTCTTTATTCTCTTTTTCTTCTTCCTCTTCTTCTTTCTTTTGTGCTACTTTATGTAGTGAATATTCAGCTGAGTCAAAATATTGTCTATTTGTTTGAATTCTACCTAGTCGTTTTTGTTGAACACCTTGTGTTTGTGCACTTCGTGCTAAATTACCAAAGTTTTTTTTACCTGGTTTAGGAGCTGTATGGTGCATACTTTCACATTGAATACTTGGTTCTTCACTCATATTTAAAAGATCTTAGTTCTGAACTTTAAATTATAAAAGTAAATGGAAAAAACCAAGTTAGCTGTTCCAAAAGTTTCATTATATAATCCAGTTGAATTAAAGAAAGTATTGGATTTGGGATTAGAAGAAATTCTTAAATCTCAATTAAAATATGATATTGATTATTGGTATTCAAATACTATTATTATTTGTTCAATTATTTGTTCTCTTTTAGGGGCACTTGCGTGGTGGTATCCAAAGCCATGGCCTGAATCATATTGGCATATCGTTTCAATAATTGTTATTTACATTATTGTTGATGGGTATTTAACTTACATTATGTGGTTTAGACATAAAGGTTTTGCTGTTGCAATTAAGAAACCTAAAGCAATATTTTATAGTGCGATGATTCCTTATACTCCATATTTTAAATTAACAATGTGTAAAAATCAAAAAGAACACAACATTGAAATCGAAGTTAATAAAGTATTTGATTCTGATGGTAAATTACTTCTTCCTTTATATCAAGGATATGTGGAAAAATTACTTAATTTTGAATAAAATTTTTATGAATTTTATTTCTTTTTTTTTTAACTTGTTAAAGAAATGAACGATTTAAAATAAATACTTTATTATTCTTAATTTATCTTTTCTTGAATGAATATATTTTTTGAATTCTTTTTATTCTTTTCTTAACAAAAAGTTGTAAAGATAAAATTAAGATCAATAATACTCTTTCATTCATTTCAATTCAATTGAAAATTAATAAAGAAAAAAGTTTGTTTATTGAATTAGTTATTTGTTAAAATTATTTATAAATTACTTTTCGATTAATTAAAAAAATTAGTAGTAAGGTACAGATTTAGTATTGTAAATCAAATCAATAATAAGCTAGTTATTTGAAATATATTGATGTGCAAAAAACTTTTAATAAATTTTATTAACAAAATACAATTACTTTATTTATAAATGCTCTATTGTCCATTTGTATTAACATAATTTTTTTGTTAAATTATCATTTATTGAGTCTAATCAAATTTAATTGGTAATGAAACTGATTTGACTACGAAATAATTATTCAAGGGAAGAAGAATAAAAAGAGTTATAATAAAAATTTATAATAATAAATTTTGATATCAAAATAATATTTTAGAAATAATACAGTGATTAAGTGTTCATCATTAAATTGAAATTACGGAAAAAAGTTAAGAAAGAGTAAAATTATTTGTTATTAATTGAAATAAAGTTTTACAATAAAATAAAAACAGAGTATTCAGTAAATCAATGTATAATTAAAATATCATTAGTTGGTGGTATTCGGTCTATTTTGTTCATTAAAATATTTATATAAAATTATATTTTTGGTTATAACCTTATGGTATTTAAAAAAGTAATTATAGATTAATAAGAGTTTTGTAAAGATAGTATTAAGTACATTTGATAATACCTTATACAAGAATGGAGAGTTTACTCATCTTTGTCTAGAAGAAAAAAATAAATACATAAAAAAGACAAAATATATATTTATTAATGGTCAAAAGTCAAAAAGTGATTTAATACAAAAATAGATTTAGAATGAATAAAAGTCATCAAGAAGATATATAAATAATATTATTTATTGTCAATAGAATTTAAAATAATGCACTTCATATAAGTGTCATTTTATTCATTAAAATTACCAATATATTTTTTTTAGAAATTGGGTTAATGGTGTAATTATCAGATGAGTTATATTAGCACAAACAAATTATAATTTGACTAATATTAATATACAATCTTTTGGTTTATAAATTAGAATAAGAAAAAAAAATGGAAATAAGTTTAATAACAATTCTTTAACGTATATAGTTAATACTCAAGAAAATAAATTTTAATTTAATATAAAGAAATTAAGTAAAATAATTAATAGTATTCTCACTTATTTAACTATGACATTCAATGTATTAGTACTATGAATAAAAATATATTTGTGAAGATAAAAAGAAGAGGTTGTAATAGAAAAGGAGAAATACAAAAATGTAAAGAAGAAAGTAGAACAATTTAAAATATCAAATTAATTAAGGAAGTTTATTTTCAACGTTTTTTATGAAAAATTAATAAATAAAATATTTATCTAAATTAATTTTATTTTCAAAAGAAAATAGACAGAATTGTAAAGAAATTAATTTATTGTGACCAGTGTTTATAACTAGTTTTACATTCACAAGTCATCCGTATAAGACAATTATAAATTAAACCAACAAATGTAACAACATCAACCCCAGTTTTTCCTTTTTTAACTTTAGTTTCATCCATTAAAGAGAGTAAATACAAATAATCTCCAATCACTTTTTGTTGGAAAGAATTTGTTGTAGTTAAATTTAATGGTTGATTTAATGGAATATTGAATTCAATTCTAAAAATTTTAATATACTTTATAAATGAATTGAAAATAAAAGAAAGAAAAACAACAAACAATAAGATGTATCTGAATATTAATAATACTTGTTTTATTAAAGGATAAATAATTGATGTAATTGGAATAATTAAGTTATTTCTTATTTTATCTTCATTCTTAGGATCTAATAATTTGTCAAATATATCACAATTTCTTTTAATTTCATTTAAGTCATTTGGTCTTGTGTTATAGTCTTTTCCAATAATTGATGTTTTAACACCTTCTTGGGTTACAAATGAAATTACACCACTTTCAATTATTTGTAAATACCATTTAGCAAGTTGTTCTTGAAATTTACCTGAATCAATAATAGAAAGTAGTTGAGTATAGTTAATAAATTGTTGTTGAATAATATTTTCCATTAAACAAATAAATAAACAATTTAAAATAAAGTTCTTTTTCTATTATTTTTGTTTAACAGAAAAAAAGAAAAAATCTTTATTTTAATAACTGTTTATTTACTCTTTTATTTTTTAATTAAATATCATTAATCGTTTTATTTTATTATATTATTTATTAAATCACAAATCATTTTCATGAATTAAATTCTTTGAAAGTATTACTCTATTATTTCTTTCTTGTACTTTTATTAAAACCATTCAAATAAAGTTAGAAGTGTTTTGTTAATAAGAAGGAAAATGAAAATTGAAATAAAGAAACTTGCTAATATTTTTTTTATTTTCTTTTTCAAAAGACTTTTAAGATTTTAGATCTATTCTTCTTATGGAAGGTATTGCAATTGATTTATATTCTGGAAATAATTCGGTTGAAATTAGAAGAAAAGCGTTTGACGTTGTCTCTTCAATAAATGGATTTCAATGGGCCTGTAATATACTAAATAATTACTCTACAGAACGATTAGAAGTTATTTTATTTTCACTTCAAATTATAAAACATTGGATTTATTTATTTGATAATAATGACGCACAACTAATTGTTTTATTAAATTTATTAAATAATTCATTAAAACAAGTGTATAAATTAAATCAACGTTTACTTTGTGTGAAAATTGGAGAATGTTTTAATGGAATAATTTGTAGAAGGTTAAATGAAAATGATTCAATACTTTCTATTTATTTATCACTAATAAAAGACATTAAATATCAACCATTAATTGTTTTATTATTTCAATTATTATTAGAAGACCTTAATTCTACAAAAGTTAAACAAAATATATTAATTAAACAACTTTTTATTATAAAAAATTCATTGAAAAGAAATGGATTTGAAATTATTCAATTTTTAATTAAAATGATTTCAGTGTCTCCACAAAATTCTATTGTATCAATTAAATTAATAGCACAATATATTGATATGAAATGTGTTTTAAATACAATGTTAATACCTGGATTAAGAGAGTTATTTATTAAATATAAACAACTTCAAGATGATATCTTTGACTGTGTTAATGATTTAATTTCAAATAAAAACATTACTAAAGAAGTTATTCCATTATTTTTAGACATTATTCAAATTTTCTTAAAATCAGGTGATGATAAAGCTCTTATTGTTCTTTTAACATTTATTAATTCTGTTGGATTAATGTTAAATCAAGAAATGATTTATTTTATTATTGAAAATTTATTAAATTATTACCAACTTAATATAAATAAAATTGATATTCTTCATCATGAGATAGAAGTAATTTATACAATTTTAAAACTACCATGTATTTCTAATGTATTTAAAATTGAAAATTCTTCACAACTTATTATTCAATTAATTCAATTAATTATATATTCATCATATCATTCAATTAATCATCAAATGAACTGTATTGACTTCTCCTCTAATGGACCAAATGAAAGTCAATATAAAAGAGTTCTTAATTTAAATATTAATACATTAGAAATTATATTTTTAAATGACCCTCAAATAGTTATTAGTCAAATTCAGCAATCTTTAAATCAAATATCTTCTATTATTCTTTTAAAACACTCAAAAAGACTAAATGAAATGGAATTAGTTGATTTAGCATCATTATGTTATTTCTTTATATTTCTCCAACCAAAATATGTTATTCATTCATTACCTTTTCAAGAGTTATTATCATTATATAATCCATTTTTTGAAATATTAAATTATTTACAACAAGAAAAAGATTCAGTTATTTTAAAGGAATTAATAGAACAATTATTAACTGTCCTTGAAAGTTTTTATATTTGTGTTTCATTAATATATTCTAACCAACTTGATCAATGGGCAAATAATTATATTCAAAAACTAATATTAACAAGCCAAAAATGCTCATCTTCTAATGTTTCAATATTCTTTATTAAAACAACATTTTGCTTTATTCAAACAATTGGTATACAATGTTTACAATTTCCATTTACTTTATCAATTCATCAACAACCATTACATTTTTTTTCTCATTTTCAAGGTTTTACTCAAATAGAAGCAATATCACAATTCTTAAATACTCTTCTAAGTTTTACAGAATCAAATAATACTCAATCTTATTTCATTCAAATAACTTTTCAAAATGTTTTCAATAATTTATGTATTCAACCATTGTTAAATTCAATCAAAAATAAAGACCAATCTCTTATTAAACACTTATGTCTCATTATCATTACATTTATTAATGAAGCAATTAATCTTAATGCAATTCAAAAAGAAATGATAAGTGTACATATTAATACATTAATTGGAACAATTGAACTCTCAGAAATTTTACAATTTAGTGATGATACATTAAATATTATAACTAGAATGATAAGTTGTTGTTTTATGAAATTAACAAATACCTTAAAAGAAGAAATTATTTCAATAGTTTTACAAAAGTATATGAATATTTTTTCTGGTCATACACTTGAAATAGTAACATCTTCAAACCAATTAAAAATTAATGTTATATGTATGTTCATACAATTACTTTCTAAATTTATTTTAGTATGGAGTTCTATATATGGGGATTCTCCTTCTAAAACTTTTTCAGATACTACTTTCTTAGCTTTTTTATTCTGTTTAAATGATATTGCAAATATTCTTTCAGAATATACTATTGGCTCAGAAGTATTTAGAGAAGGATTTAATATTCTTTTTGATGTAATTCAAGTATTTTATAAAAACATTGACGATTTTCCAGAGTTCTCCGAAATTGCTTCTAAACTTATTGAAAAAGGGATACAATCTTCCGACATTGAAATGGTTCAAATTATTTCAAAAAGATTACTTACATTAAATAAAACTATTTCTTTATTTTCTCTCACTTCATTCTGTTCTTCTTTACCATCATTTTTAAATACATTTATTAAAGTACTCATATCGTCAATGCACAGTTTTGATGTATTATCAGAATTACTTTATTCTATTATTTCATCTTCACCTTCTAAGTACTCTTCATTTTATAATGTTGTATCATCTTTCTTATCTACAACGCTGACTGATGCAATAAAAAATAGATACTATCAATATTTACTTCAGTACATTGAACTAAAACAAGATGAGTCATTAGTTCAATTCCAACAACAACTAAAGTATTTTGTGAGTGATTATTTGCTTTTATCAAATAGAAGTTGTTCATAAATAACACATTTTTATTTTTGTTTTTTTTTTTGTTTTTAAAAAAGAAGAAGAAACTTAAAACTAGCAAACAATATTTTATCATCACATGAATGAAGAAAAGAATATTTCAATCTATGAATTTGATGTAAAACAAAATCCACAATCATTTAAAACTTGGTGGAATTATGTTGAGTATTTTGATGAAAGTCATTTTCAATCTAAAATAATTATTTTCCAACGGGCATTACAGTTTGTGGATAGTTCTACATAAAATAGTAAAAGACTCATTGACTTAGTGAATTACCAGGAAGTTATAAATTGTGGTATCATTACCTTCAAACCATTATTACAAATGCAAGAAATAGTGAAATTAATACTGAGATTAGAAAGAGTGTAAATGAGGGATTTGAAGAGAGTTTAGTATATATGAATAAAATGCCAGTCATATGGAAATTATATATTGAATGGTTAATAGAAAATAGAGAAATAACTCAAATGAGAAGAGTATTTGATAGGTCATTACAATCTTTACCAATTGGTCAACACAACGAACTTTGGAAAGTTGTTATGAAATTTGTGATTACGTTAGATACGCCATTATTATTTGAGAAATTAGTATTGAGACATATTTTATTGGATAGGGGAATGATTGGAGAATATATTCAAATTTGTAAAAAGAAAGGAGAAAGGTATTACCCTCTTGCATTAAAATTGTTAATTCAAAATGTTAGTTTACATTCATTTAGAATGAAGAAAGAAGAATATGACTTTATGATTCATATTTTTGAAAGTCTTACTGTTCAAGATAAAGGAATTGATATTCAAGATATAATGAAAAAAGGAATTCAGGAATTTCCTGAAGACGCTGGTAGTTTATGGGTTGGAATGTCTTTGTATGAAATAAAAGAAGGGAGAATAGAAACAGGAATTGCAATATTAGAAGAAGCAATGGATGAGGTGATTACATTAAGAGATCTTTATATTGTGAGACAATGTTATGAACAGGTTATACATAACTGTATAAATAAACCTGGAATAAAAGAAATAGAAAAACAAGTAATAGAAGAAAGAAAAGAGTATGTACTTGGAAATCAAAGCATTCAAATGAATTTAGTATTACTTAAGAAAGACCCGTATAATGTCAAAGAATGGATTGAAAGAGGTAGACTTTATGTAAAAAATGGAGATGTTTTAAGTGGTATTAAAACATTAATAGAAGGAATTAAAACAATCCATGGAGGAAAAGAAGTTAACGGAAAAAAAAATGAGTTATGGAGTGAACTTATTGGATGGTACCTTAAAGGGAATAAAAGAAATGAAGCAAAAGAATTATTTAAAAAAGCAAAAGAAGATAATTTAACACAAGGAGAAGAAGCTGAAATTTGGTATAAAATGATAAAAAATGAAATTAAAAATAATAATATAAATGAAGCACGAGCATTATGTGAAGAAGCAACGTTAAGACAATCAAAAGTAAAGAATGAAAGAATGATTTGGAAAGGATATCTTGAGATAGAAGAAATATCACATAATATAATGGGGAAGTGGAGTATTTATGAAAAAATGATAGAATTAAAAATTATTACAGGGAGAGAATTAATAGAGTATATTAATGAAAGAAAAGAAAAAGGAAATGGAGATGATATATGGAGAATTTACGAAAAAGGGATTGATATTTTCGAATACCCAGTAAAAGGGATGTTGTATAATCAATATATTAATGAATGGTGTTCATTGTATGGAGAAAAGAAAAAAGAAAGAACAAGAGATCTCTTTGAAAATGCTATTGAAAGTGCACCTATTGAATGGAAAAAGAAGATGTATGACCAATATATTGAATATGAAATAAAGAATAATTCATTTAAAAGAGTTATCGATTTATATAAAAAAGAAGTTAATGAAATACTTAATGAAGAAAAGTGTGAAGTGTGGATCAGATATGCTCAACAAGTGGATGAAGTCTTTGGATTTGAAGAAACAAAAAAAGTATATTTAGAAGGTTTAAATTCAATTGGAAGAATAGATGAATGGAAATTATGTCTTTCATTTGCTGAGTATTTGGAAAACCAAGAAGACATTGGGGGTGCAAGAGAAATTTTTTCTGTTGGAAGTAAAAGGTGTAGTATTAAAGAACATGAAGAATATTGGGATAGATGGAAAGAATTTGAAGAAAGGTATGGTAGTGAAAATACATTTAAAGATTATTTAGTTACAAAGAAAACAGTTATGAAATATTTTGGAGAAGCAGAATGATTAATACAAGAATAAAATGTAAATGTTGGTATTTTTTTCGTTTTATAAAAAAATTTTAAATATAGAACAATTTTATTTATAAATTATAAAAAAGTGATTTGGCATCGTCCCAAAGAAAAAAAAAACTAAAAATAAAGAACAACAAATAATATTTTTAGAAATATAATAGAACTTAAAAGTCAAAAAAGAAAAAGAAATGTCAACCACTCAAGAATTAAAGAATGCAATTGAAAGGTCAAAAAAGATTGAAATAATGAGAGAAAAGAAAGAATACCAAAGTAGAAAGATGGATATTGAAGAATTGGATTTAGATTGCTATAGAACTATTTATCAATTAATAGGTCATATATTTAATGATAAAAGAGATGAGTTGATGGCTACAAAAAAAAAATATGAAGACCTTCAAAACTGTTACACTCAAGTAACTACAAAATTAAATAAAACTATTAACATTATCAATGCAAATCCAAATGCATATCCTGTTGTAAAAAAAAACCAACATCCTGATTTAGCTGTAGAAGAATACCAACAACAAATTCAAAAAAATTTCGTTAAGAAATAAAGAAATGGCAAATATAATTAAGAAAAAGAAAGAAGAGTTCATAGTTAAAGCACTTGAATTACATTTTGTTTATTTTCATGCTATTGAAACACAAGAAATAGTATGGCATCCCATTCCAAAAAGAAAAAGGACAGAAAGTTTTTCTGATCCTTTTAAAGTAAGTACACAAGAGTTTTATAAAGAAAGAGTTTATAGTTTAAAAGAGCACTGTGATGAGACTTATAGAAATTTATTACAAATTCATGAAGATTCAAAACTTCAATCAAAATATAGTCAACCACCTCCTTCACGTGCTGCTTTAGCTGCTAACAAAGAAAATGTAACTATGACATTAAAAGCATCTCCTATAAAATCCTCATCTGAAATAACTAGTATTCCTAATATTACTCCAAGTTGTGTAAAAACTAAATTATATAAAGAGGATAAAGTTAAAGCACCTCAAACAAGTATTTGGGGTTATATCCCTGTTCCAAAAGGAAATTCAAGTGAGGCCATTGAGGTAGTAACCAAATCTTATCACTTTAAAATTGGTGATCAAAGTACAAGTGTTCTATTGCATCCTTATGGACCATGGTCTATTTATATGAAAGATGCAGAAATGTATTTAGGTTATGATTCAATTTTAGGTAATGTTATATTAAGTATATGCGAAATTAAAAAAGGAGCCCCATATCCACCAGAGTGTTTAGATCCTAAGGATGGAGTATTGTGTACATTAAAAACAAAAAAAGGAGAATATAGGTCAGTATTTGACAAATCGTTAGTTCTGAAAGAAGGAAAGTATAATACTCAATTTATTTCAAGTTTATTGGAGGCATCAGCCTCTAATGTAAAATATAAATTGATGGATCCATCAGGTAAAGCACCGTTAATGTGGAGATATGATGAAATAAATGCACCAACTTACTTTGAAGTTGGTGTTAGGTATATTAACACTGATTCAATTTGTAATGTTGTTGAAGATTCTAAATATCCAAATTCATTCGATAAGTTTTTATCATGTTTTTCTTCAGCTATGAAGGTTACTGAAGAAAGTAGTTTACAACAAATTACAAGTCAACTAAGTTGCACAAATTATTATTTTTATTGCCAAAATGATTGGTGTGAAATTGCTTATTATGTGTCACCATTAATGGGAAAAGAAGATAGAACTATGACACTTGAAAATGCTATTGTTACACTATTATTTGTTGAAGGAAATCAACCACTACAACTTGACTCTCTTTCAATAAATGATATTGTAATTGTTGTTACCCAAGACACAAATGGATATCTTGTTCGTGTTGCTCAAAAAGGAAATGATTGTTTTGTAGAAACTCCACTCCCACAATCTGATTATGTTATTCCTGGTTACCAAATGAAGGGATTTATGACAACACTTATTGTTGACTGTTATAAATGTTATCGTAACCGTACTCAAGCCATGAGACATTTCACTGAAAAAAGAGAGAAAGTATTAACAATGATTAAAAAATCAAAATAAAAAAATTTTATTTCATTATTTGTGTTTTTTACTTAAAAGTACTAAAAATATTAAAAGTGGATTTGGAGTGATTATAAGCAAAGTAATATTACTTTCGTAAAAGTAATATTATTTTATTCAAACTGTTTTTTGAAAATCAATCTGACGTGGTAAGAACTTTTAAAGCATTTAAGATAATAAATATAGTAACTCTATGAATAAAGAAGAAGAGTTTAAGTCAAGTCCACCATTATCAGAAGAAGAAACAAACGAAGAAGAAACAAATGAAGAGGAAGAGTACGAGGAAGGTAGTGATGAAGAAGAGTTTGAGTATGACTGGGAATTTGCTGGACAAAAAATCAAATTAACAGGAACAGAAGCTGAGATTATGAAATTTGTTGAAGAACGACTTGAAAAAATATCAGACGAAGAAAAGAAAAAAATAATAGAAGATATTAAGAAAGGAATGAAAGTTGGAATGAAAAAAGGATTTAAAAAGGGATTTCATAAAGAGTTTCATGATAAAAAAAATAAAAAAAATCATTTAAATAAAAGAGTTAAAAAGGCAATTAAGGCAGGTGTAAAAGAAGCTACTAAAGAAGGAATAAAAGAGAGTACAAAAGAAATTAAGAAAGATATAAAAAAAGAAGTTAAAGCTAATATAAAAGAAGAAATCAAAAAACAAATTGAAGTCAAAAAAGAAGAGGTAAAAGAAAAAATAAAAGAAACAACAACAAGTGAAACAAAATAAATAATTAAGAATACGTAAATGCAATTTTTTTGTTTGGTACTTTAAATCTAAAAAAAGAGAGATAGAAAAAAAACTCAAAAACAGCATTTATAAGGAAATTTGGATCATGTCAAATTACCTTAATTTATATCAACAAGTTATTAATAAGAATAGTGATGTGTTAAAAGAACTTAATAAAAAAGAAGTACTTGAAGAGTTAAAAAAGAGTAAGTTTTATGATAGACTGATTTTTTTTGGTTGTGAAACAAACAATAAAGAACTTGTAGAATTATTATTAAATTATAGTCCTTCAAAATTAACTTGTCAGGACATACATGGGAGAACTCCATTAATGAGTTGTTTACTAAATCAAAGTTTAGATGTAATTGTGTTGTTATTATCTGTTGGAGATTGTAGGTTAGATATTGTTGACTCTTTTGAAAATAATATACTTCATTATCTTTCATGTTGTAAAGTTGATGACTTAATAGAGTTATTAAGTAAGAGAGTAATTGAAGAATATCCCTTATTTATTAAAAGAAAAAATGCATTAGGAGAAAGTCCTCTTCATCTATCAATTGAGAAAGGAAATATTAAATTTGCACAATTATTACTCGATAATGGAGCTCCATTAAATCAAACTACAAATGATAACCAACACCTTCTAGATTATGCTCTTTATTGTACTACCAATCAAATAGAAACGATTCAATTTGTTAAGGCAAAAATAAAAGAAAAAGAAGTAGAACAGAAAAAAATTATTCTTTCATCAAAATCTGAAGAGTGTCAAATTAAAACTGATTCTCCTATAATTACTCAACAAAACATTTCTGAAAAAACTAATGGAAACAATATTGATAATACTACTGAAAGATCTCCATCCAGTGTAGAAGTTATTGACAAAGGTGATGTCCAACAAGTAAAAGAAAATACTAATAATACTTATTATTCTTCCTTATTAAGTAGCTTTTTTAAAAAGAAAGAAGTTGTAAAAACATTGACAAAAGAAGAAGAATATCAAATATTATTAGAAAGTATTAAAATTAATGATAAAATGCATAACTCTATTGACTCTTTTAATAGAAAAAAGAAATTTAGAATGATTTCTATTGATGGAGGAGGAATTAAATGCATTCTTCAAGCAATTATTTTTTCAAGACTTGTAGAAAAATTTCCAACATTACTAGAAGAAGTAAATTTATTTTGTGGGGTATCAGCATCAAGTTTCATTTGTGCTGATTTGGCTCTTGGAATTCATCCAAAAGACATTAAAAAATTGATGATTGAAATGTGTAAGCACAGTTTTGAAAAGAAATCACGAGGATACATGGAGTCAATGTATTCTAATAAATATCTTATTAAAGTTGCTCAAATGACTTATGGAGAAAAAAAATTAAGTGATATCCAACGTTATATTTTAATCAATGCTTTTCAATTTGATTCTGGAGAAAATGACCCAAATAGATGTTGTAAGGCTTGTGTTTTCAATAATTTTATTCCAGGATATGATTGTAAAATTAGTGATGCGTGCTTACGTTCAGCAGCTGCTGTTGGTTATTATCCACCATATCAAGGATATGCTGATGGTGGAATTTTTGAAAATAACCCATGCGTTTGTGCTTTTCCCTATATGTTTGGGGAAAGAGGGCTTGGAATAGATATAGATAATACTGTATGCCTTTCAATTTCATCAGGAAGACCACCAATTAATTATATGGATAGTAATAAATATACTGATGTTGGACTATTGCAACTTTTACCATTATGTATTGATGGCTTCTTGTGGAGTAGAAAGTCTATGGCAGATGATGTTGCAAAAGGGTTTTTAGGAGAACGGTATATGAGATTTGATCCAATATTACCAAACAATCTTGATTTGGACTGTAACAACCAAGTTGATAAATTAATAGAGTTAGCTAATAATGTAGATATTACTTCAATAGAAGAATGGATTCTTAAATATTGGTTGTAATAATATTTACAGTTCATAAATAATGATATTTCAAAACTATCTTTATATTTTATTCTAATTTATTTTTTTTAAATAACAAAAATATTTTATGCCATTGAATAAAAAAAATGTTATCATAATAATCATTAAATTAATAAGTATTGGGCTGAGTTATAGTCAAGTGATACACGTTAATTGTTATTTTATTATTTTTAATTATGTGTAATGTTTTTTTAATAATTTTTACATGGTTTATTTGTTTTTGTTTATTAAAATTTTAACTAATGTTTTTCATATCAAAGAAAATAATAAGTTATTAACATTATTATTGAATAACATGTTCTTCTTTATAATAAATAATTAAATAATTTATATTTGTTAAGATTTTATATTATTTATGGTATTTAAATTAAGAATGAATTGATATATTAAAATTATTATATAATGTTAATTAATAAATGATTTGATATAATGTTTAAATGATTTTTATCATTATTATAGTGTTTATTTGATTAATATTTTATTTGTTTATTATTCTTTTTGTTTATTCTTATATTTGATTTGATTATAATGATTCAAGATTTTCAAAATTGAAATAATAAATAAAAAGAAATAAACATTTAAACAAGTTAATAATAATAAAAGATAAAATAAAAGATTAAAGATAAATATTGTAATAAATCAAATTTATAAAATATAAATTAATATTAAAATTCAAAATAAGTGATGATAAATAATCATTCATAAATATAAATAAATAAATATTTTAGAAAATATAATGATTCAAAATATGTAAATAAAACTATTTTAATATATCATTGATTTAATCATTATTAAAATATATTTCTATTTAATTAAAATACAAAATAAACAATATTAAATAAATATAAAATATTAAAATGATTAAATAAACTATTAAAGATAAAATAATAACAAATACATTTATTATCTTTATTAATAAATAAAATATAAATAAAGAAATATAACAATAAATCATTAAACACACAATAAAACAAAATACAAGAAACAAATAAGAATAATAAACAAATATAAATACAAAACTATAATAATAAACATAATAATAATATAAATAATAATATAACAAATATAAATAATAAATTATAAATAAAAATAACAAAAATCAATAAAATAATAAATAAAATCAATAATAAAATACATTAAATCAATAATAAAATATAATAAATAAATATTCAATACAGAAAAAATTAAAACATAAAATAAATAACAAATAAAACATAAATAAATAACAAAGAAACAAACATAACTAAATACAATTGATAGAACTATCAAAATAATATCTTAATTAATTAATTAATTTCCTCATACTCATTACCATTATAATTTATCTCTATTATTATTTACTTATTTGGTTCATTGTTTGTTTTTTTGTAAACACTTCTCATTAAGAGTGAAGAAAAACAGTAATAAAAAAATAATCAATTAAAAGAAAGTAACAAAAAGAAAGATCGGATCAAAAACTCAACAATGTAATTTTTAAATATTCAATTTAAAAGAGTTTATACATACTTTTTGAAATAAAAGAAATTTTAACTATTTTTATAAAAAAATACGATTACATGAAATACTTACATCTTTACAATACCTAACATTAAACAATAATCAATATTCAGAACAAAAAAAGAGTTTATTGTTTTACAAATGATATGATATCTCAGTAAAAATAGAAAAAAATGTTTTATTTTGTTGTAAACAAAGACGAGTATTATTTTATTGAAAGAATAGTACCTTCAACTTAATAATAAATTGAACAATTAAGATTTTATAAGAAGAGTCTTGTTAAATTCATCAGATAAGTCTTTCATTTTATAATATTTACTAATACTTTTTAATTTCTTTATTCAGATATCTATTCATTAGTTTAATGATCAACTTATTTAAAAAAAGATTCTTAGATACATAAAAAAGATAAAAAAACATAATAAAGAAATTTACGCCTATTTTTAAGTAATTTATTCATGTGGAACATTTAGGTGTAAATAACCATTAGATTCCATGTATTCAAATAAATCAAAGAAGAATTCGGATTGACCATAATTTAATTCAATTTTATAAAAATTTTTTACAGCTAATCCAAGTCCAATAGAACTCCAGCTGATTCTAAGAGATGGCAACTTAATTCCATCTCTTGTAAAAAAGATTTCTTTTGTGAAGGAGCCATAACCGAATCCAAAAATATGAGACTCATATTCACTAATTCCATAAGGTGGACCGTATGGCTTGCCTATTCCACTTTCAATGAAAATTTTACCATCATCAGAATGAATCCAATTGATCCTGGCTTCCATCTAATTTGTCCAGATGAAAATCTGTAAACACTTAAATTTATAACTCTAAGAGAAACAACTGCAAGTCCATAAACTTTTATTTCAAAATATCTAACAGTTGCTAGTACTAATAAACGTTTTCCATTTTTGAAAATATTCATTTCTAATGGTTCTTTTTGAGCATCAAAGAAATTAACACTGTAATAAGAGCATACTTTAAGTGTTTGCATATTCTTTCTTAATAAGAACTGAATTCTTTAATTCATTTTCTTTATAAAGATTCCAAAATCTTCTTATAATAAAAATTCCTTGTTGAGTATACTTAAAGGTACATCAGGTAAATAAATTACATTTTGTTCCATTTTCTTAAATTTATCAACAGAAATATTTATGTAATCCAAAGGAGATCTTATTCTATTATCTTTATCATAAAAGTTTATATTATTACACTCTTCAATATAAATTACTTTATTTTCATAAGAAATGAATGGTAGACCACTCTCTGAAACATTTCTTAATAATAATTGACTAAAGAAGAAATGTTTCCTCGAATCTGTAAGTTATTAGTAATAGATGAGAATAATTGTTTAAGCTTA